GGGGAATTTATAGAACCTGTTGCCAGTGTGTAGGGGGATCCTCAGGCGCAGTTGACAAGACAAGGGCTTCGTTAGGATTGGGACGCTTCTTTCTGTGATTGCCCTCTGTCATGCAACCGTTTGAAGACTCAACAAATGAGGGTGGAAGACCATTATTCGAAGGAAAAACTTCTGGGCTAGTAAACTCCACGTCAAACCAGAAAGCAAAACCATGAAAGGGTGCTGAAACAAAAGAGAATCAGGTCATATGACCACTAGAGAACATTAAAGAACAAAGTATCAACACTAACAGACGAAAAGCAAGAATCATCTCCCACCCACAATTTTAACAAACAGGCAGAAGAAAGAAAAATATTGATACAGATGTTATAAAAGAAAGCCATGAGATCCGCGGAAAATTTTGCACACACAGTCAGACAACATTATTTGGAGAAAAAGAGATAGCAGTTGTACCTCGCATCATTGACTCAAATTTAAATCTGGTTGTAATGGACTCTAGCTCCTGAATTGTTACTGTATAACAGTCCACATGCTTCACCTGCCATTGAGTTGAAGGTAAATGAGTCCGAAATGAGGATGGCCAATGAGTACTGCACTAATGCATAAGATACAAGAGTCATATGAAACAATTAAGCATAAGGCACACAAACCCAGAAAATATGACCTCGAGTATATAGTCCTACTTATCTGGACTCTATATGTTGGGGCAACAATCCAATGATCTTAGATTACAATCTTAGATCTGCAGAATCCATGAATCCAATTATCTGCAGAAGTGACCCTTAATACATGGTTAGATTATACAAATTTTTCTTTCATATAGCTCCCCTTTACCAGGAAGACATCCCACTCCCTTGATCTTGTTCATCCCCTTTACTCAACAGAACCTTCAGAGAGAGAGAGAGAGAGAGAGCGAGAGAAAAAAATTGAGAGGCTGACGATCTTGCGATTTGGCGGATATGCATGACCAAGAGAAAAGGTAAGAAATAGAAAAATGACGGTGGGGAAAAGAGAGACCAAAGAATGAGATAGTGTGGGAATTTAGAGGGAAGTAACGAAATCTGGTCTTAGTTTATCATAATAATAGCAAAAGATAATAGACATGTCACAGCAGCTATTCAATACACAGTCATCCAACCAATAAAGTACGAACTCTCCGGCATACCGTTAGTTCACTACTGTTGTTTAAGCAAATATGTTTTGGCCGATTCAGCGGCCAAATCATTGGAAAAATTGCCGAATAACAAAAATACCAAAAAACAAAAATCAAAGGGAAACCAAATTTGAAATAAACATGACTGACTGAAGTCAGATGTCAGACAGTTTGGTCAGTTTAACCAGTACCAACTCGATACAATCAATGTTTTAAAAGGCGGGGGCGTGAGGCGAGGCGTTTTACCTCTGGCGAGGCGTAAGCCCTGAGACATGGGGCGTAAGTCCCACAGATCTTTAAATTTTACTAATTTCAAGAATTTTAAGATAGTATAAAATAAAAAATAATTATAAAAATTACATTAAAATCGCAAAATTATAATAAATAATCTATTTAAAATATTTATAAATTATAATTCAACCATGAATAATATGAAAAGTATGACATATATCATAAGATGCAGATTAGCTGCAACGTCGCTACAACTCAAACATCAAAAGTAATGTATTTGATACGAAATTTTATAAGTATGTCTTAAGGAGTAATGAATCTTGAAAGAATTTCGATATTATAATTTGATATTTTTTATAAAATACTCCTTTTATTTAATATGCTTTCTATTTGAAAGAGAATTTATATAAAAATATTATTCACAATTTAAATATGATTCTCTAGCATCATTTATTTTTAAGTTTCAACAAGTTAATAAAGTGACACATAATTCACCATACAATACCATGATAACTAATTATTTGTAAATAGTTAATAGCTAATACTAAGCTATTAAATTAATAAGTATTGTATCACGTAAACATGAGAAAAATAATATTAAGGAAAATAATTATAAAACGATTATGGAGTATTATATAATAAAAACATAACAAAAGTTAATAAATAAATATTTTTTAAATGAAAGATTTATTTAAAATTTACTATCGTAGCAGTCTTAATGGATAACGTGCAATAATTTTAATTTTAATTATGACATAAAATACTCTTAACTTAACGATTTATGATTAAGAAAAAAGTATTTTTGAATAGTCAACGATTTATTAAGAAAATTTGTGCATTTACAAGGTTAGTTACACTCAATTGCATAAAGTTCTATTAGGGCGTTGGGCGTGTCCGGGGCGTAAGCCCCGACGGCCGAGGCGTAAGCCTCATGGAACTAAGCCCCACACATAAGCACAGGAGCGTTTTACGAGTGCTCCGCCCTGGAGCGAGTCCTAGTTCTGCCTTTTAAAACAGAGGATACAATCACAAGAGCGATGACACTGATGCTTCCACAAGCAAAGGTATCATTCATACAACAATTCACAAAAATGTAACATCTCCATTAAACTAGGCTCAAATCCATGAAATTGACAACTAAAGATTAATAAGCAAATGTCCGACACTGATAATAAATTTTTTATAAGCTTGTTAATTTTTTTTTTTTTGATTTTGCACCGGGTGTCCGAGTCTCTTAGAGCCCCGACTAATCCCGGGGGTGCACAGGCCCTCGGCAAGGAGTTTCCCGCAAGTGCACCACGGTTAATTCAGGTTTTACCCAGTCCGATGGCCCCCAGAAATTGTTTGCACCCAGTGGGTTTCGAACTTGAGACCTTGAAAGGGAGCAAACCCCAAGGCTCAAGTCAATTACCACTAGGCCAACCCCTGAGGGTTTTTATAAGCTTGTTATTAAGACAGTTGTTTTTGTCATCGTCAAATAGATAAAAGTTCCCAATTTGAAACCCTGAAAGAACTGAAGTTTATGGTACTAACCACTTGTGGCCATGTCAAAACATTTTCAACAGTGATTGTCTCCACCGATGGCTCTTCAAATGCACACTGCTTTGCTAACGGCATTATAGCAGACACTACAAAAAATGGAACTCAATCTGAAATCTAAGAGGAAACACGTAAAAAAAAATAGATCATCAAAAGCAATATTTGCATTTAGCAACTAATCTTTGTTCTTTTAAGTGTGTTTGCCTCACTCATACAGAGTTTAAGGTCCATGTTTACTATACAGCTCTCCGCAAATGATAGATAACACCTATCTTTTTTCTTTTTTCTCTTTTCTTTCCTTTTTCCTTTTTATTTGTGTGTGTGATCAGCAAGATAACACCCTTTCACATTTTAATGAGATAATGGAGGTTAATAGATGAAACAACAGCTTCAATGACGGTAAAACAATGTAACTGGAGAATCGACCGTATAATCCTAAGATGATCCAATCAAACAAATAAAAATGGTATACAAACCAGCACGTCTGGAGACATTAATATTTAAAACAAGTATAACCACTGTACAAGAAAGGTCACCGGCAAAGCGCACAGCAAAATAGTTCTATTTAAGGACTCGACTCCTATGTTAGTGCAAGCGAGTGTGACTAGTATATTTAGCCACTCACTGCTACTAACTAGCATATTTTTGTTTCAATCCAAAAAGTTTTCCCTTTGTCGAAACTAAGCATATTCTCATCAACGAGGGGATCCAGATGGGTGGCAATGATGGAGAATAGAAAAATGACTGGAGGGTTCAGCAAAGGAGTTAAGCTTTAAATACAGCTTGATGAACAATGATATGATAATTCACATGTCAAACTTAATTGGCGAAATATCATAGTGATATCCTCGATCAGTAAAACACAAGAAAGTGGATCTAATTTGCGTTCTAAAGAGAAATCACTTCGTCAAGGTAATAAATTGTGCTGGGAGAACAACAGAGATAATAATGAGTCTTACAACATATACTCACTGTCAATCCCATAAACATTACGCCAGAAATCAACGCTTTCACTATACCGATCTGGATGTGTCACAGGCGCCATGTAGAGCTGCAGAGAGAAGAAACAGAGATCAAAATGACTTTCTGCTCTTTCATATCATTAAGTGGTGTAAAAGCAAAAGCTATATAAAATCATCGGACTATAGGTGTAGATCCTTTGGACTTTGTTCTAGGGGAACAATGCAGTAGCATTAGGATATGAATCTGTTCCAAGAGCTTCTCTAGTTTGCCTCTAAATGAATAGATCACCATTCATAGTACAACTCGCACTGCAAGTATCAGCATGTGATTTCTTCTATGAGTAAAATATGAAGCAGATTCTAGGAAAGTGGATTTGTCGCATAACTACAGAATATCTCGATCTTTATCGCATAACTAACAAAGTATTTGAATCTAACTTCTGATAATACAAATACACTATTCGTCAAACAATGGAAGCAAAAGGAGGAATATATATACACGCAAACACAGAAAACTCCCAAAAAATTTCCAAGCTCACATAAATTAGGGAATGAGTATGACTACCGTTGCATGTGATGGAAGAATAAGACCTCCAGGTTTCAGAAAGCGGTCTCTAGCAGTGATAACACTCCCCAGCATGCTCTGCAAAGTAAGACAAGCATATTCCATGTGAAAAAGTTTTGAAGTCATGGATTCCCACACATACATTTAAAAGGTAACACCACATGCAAGCCAAACTAGATGTAAGTGTGCCTCGGTGCCAGGTCAGCAATTAGAGAAGAGAAGCATTTTCTTCAATAAATGTCTATAAGAGAAGCATTAGAATGCGCCTGTCTCCCCGCTATTACCTCATAAAGAAGCATGTAACCCATCCATTCTGAAACTATAACATCAACTTCTTCATCAATTTCAACATCCTGAACTAACCAAAAAGTATGATATAGTCATTAGTCACCACAGTCAAATGAATCTATATCAAAACAAGGGATTTATTCATCCATAATAAAGTGATTCAATTACGACAAAGTTAGAAATACCAACATTTTCATTGATGACGACTATGGAATTTCAGGTGTAGTGAGAACATTACGATATGTTCTTCTCTTTCCTAATGTTTGAGGGGCATGGGCATCAGGTAGTAACTTAATGCCATTGAATATTGAAACCTATTCACTTCTCACCTAGGTTCTTCCTTTTTCTCTCTTATTTCATGAAAAGGGAAGGTTATTTCTAAAATGATTCTAGGACTTGCAACAGCTAAAATGTCACTCGATGGGATGCTAGTTGATCAAAAGAATCTTTCTTGTCTTATCAGCCAAATTTTGAAGCATATTTTAATGGTTGTTGGTTAGATATGGACTTTATTTATACTGATATAAGTTCCCGGTTAGTTTAGGTTATTTCACAATTCCTAGAGTGAAGGGTACTTTACTGATTTGTTATTTTGCAGTCAATTTACAGGGTGTTAGCCATATGTCTTCTCCCAATAATCAAATGTGTTACTAATACTGTTTCAATTTTAAACCTACTTATTTTGGAAGCCAGTCACAGAGGCTTTCATATTTTTTGAAAAGGACACAGAAGCTTTCTTATTGTTTAGTAATTCAGAAAATGATTGCTGACAGGTTACAGCTCATACGATACCAGCTATGATTAGGTTTCCCCAGAGAATCGTGAATTTGGCACACACAGCTCATATCGCCAAGTCCAAGTCCTTACCAGTTACCACTCACAGAGAAAATACAAAATGGACCAAAGACCAACTTGCAATAACGCTAATCAGATTATGCAGTCAAACCGTTTTAACCTTCCAATGTCTTCCCACTTTTTAAATAAGTAAGGTTATTTATTAAAGCTGGTACCAAGATGGTACAATAACAGGTACAAAACAAGACAGCAACACCCCACCAGTCATACTACATGTTCCCCACCAAGAGATACAGAAAATCCAATATTATTAATCCTATCTAGACTGCTACTATAACACCAAAAATATAGATCCTTCATACATTTCTTACCATTATTTCGTACTTCTCTTTTCCTTGACGAGTTCAAGGCCTTGAGTCTTAATATGTATTACATTTCCTAGTATTCATCTATGGATAATCAAAAGAAGAAAAAAAAGGAGATAAAATAAGTTTTGAGTGGTAGAGTAATTAAAGGGTGTGAAGGAAATGTCATTTGTTAACAAATGGGTAAAATATACTCAATTGGAGGCTAGTGGGATTAGAGGGGGAATTGTAGTAATGTGAGATGGTAGAGCATGGAAGGGGGAAGTATATGGTGTGGGTGCTCACACACTTGTAAATTTTCAGGTAAGACTCAGGATTATACATGGCATTTATCAGTTGTGTATGCTCCGAATGACAGAAGAAGAAGGGAAGAAGTGTGGTGGGAGTTGGCAGGGGTAAGAGGTCTATTTACAGGACCATGGGTGGTGTGTGGGGACTTCAATACTGTGAGATTCCCATCTGAGAAGAAGAATTGCTCTAGAATCACAAGAGCAATGATGGACTTTTCAAATTTTATTGAAGATATGGAACTAGTAGATATTCAGTTAGCAGGGGTGACTACACATGGAGAAAAGGGGACAGACATGTAACAACAGCTAGATTGGATAGATTTTTTATCTCGGCTGACTGGAATGAAGACTTTAGGAACATAAAGCAACAAATGATGTTGAGGGTTAAGTCAGACCACTCTCCATTGATGCTCAAATGTGGGAGCTGGGAATCAGTTAAATCATACTTCAAGTTTGAAAACTGGTGGCTTCAGACTGAGGGATTTAAAGGTAGAATTGAAGAATGGTGGAACTCCTTCAACTGTGAAGGAAGGCCAGACTTTATACTAGTCTCTAAACTCCAAGCACGGAAGAACAAGCTCAAGGAATGGAGTAAAACTTTGCAAGGCAACCTAGCCCTACAGAAGGCAAGTGTTCTCAACCAACTGGCAGAACCGGAAGAAATTCATGAACAAAGGAATCTAACTGAAGAAGAGATACTCTCAAAAAACTCTTTATGGTTGAAAGAGGGTGATAGGAACACCAAGTTCTTCCACAAAACAGCTAATGCCCACAGGAGAAACAATAACATAGACCAATTGTTGGTAGAAGGGGAGACTATGCAGAATCCAGAAGACATCAAGAGGGAGGTTATCAGATTCTACAAAAAGCTGTACAAAGAAGAAGAAGAGTGGAGACCAGTAGGACCCAACAGAATCAACCAAATGATTACAGCAAAGGACAACTTAATGCTGCAGAGTCCATTTGGAGAACAGGAAATATGGGACAGTGTTAAGGCATGTGCAGGGGACAAGGCACCAGGACCAGATGGATTCTCAATGGCCTTCTTCAACAATTGCTGGGATGTGGTAAAAAAGGAAGTTGTAGCAGCAATCCAAAACTTCTATGATCAAGGAGTCTTTGAAAAGAGCATGAATGCTACATTTGTGGCATTGATTCCTAAGAAAGTGGGGACAAAAGAACTAAAAGACTTCAGACCCATAAGTTTGATTGGCAGCATATATAAGATTATATCCAAGCTATTGACTGAGAGACTCAAGAAGGTGGCCAACAAGCTGGTGGATTCTCAACAAATGGCATTCATAAGAGGAACACAAATCATGAATGTTGTTCTAATAGCTAATGAGTGCATAGACACAAGAACAACAAGTAAAGAACCAGGGATCCTATGTAAGTTGGATATTGAGAAGGTATATGATCATTTGAATTAGAAGTACCTTCTTGATATTCTAAGGAGGATGGGCTTTGGAGGGAGGTGGATAAGATGGATAAAATTTTGCATATCCACTATAAGCTTCTCAGTTCTAATCAATGGAGCCCCAGCTGGATTTTTTCCTTCGCAGAGGGGGCTAAGGCAAGGGGATCCTCTCCCCCCTTTTCTATTTATCATAGCCATGGAGGGACTGAATGACATGCTAAAAACAGCCCAGGCAAACAGCTGGATCAGGGGATTCAAAATGAGCACTAGAAAAGACAACAACAGAAGGATTTCTCATCTACAATATGCAGATGACACTTTAGTCATTTGTGAAGCAGAAAAAGAGGAAGTGAAAGTTCTAAGGGTGATATTCATTCTCTTTGACGCCACATCTGGGTTGCACATTAACGGGCAAAAAAGCTTCATTTACCCAGTTAATGAGGTTATGGAGTTACAGAGTCTGGCCAATGTTCTTGGGGGGGAGGGGGGGAAGGTAGGGGAATTGCCTACAGTATATCTGGGGATGCCATTGGGTGCCAAAAACAAATCAAAAGGAATATGGAATGATGTACGGGAGAAATGTGAAAAGAAACTAGCTAACTGGAAGAATCAATATCTGAAATGGGGGGAAGGTTGATCTTGATTAACTCTGTACTTGATGCCATGCCTACATATATGATGTCATTATTTCCAATTCCAGCCAATGTAGTGAACAAAATTGATGCCCTAAGAAGAAACTTACTATGGGAAGGTAACTGTGAGAAAAAGAAGTTTCACTTGGTCAAGTGGGGTGATCTAATTACAAGCAAGAAGTCAAGTGGTTTGGGGATCAAAAATTTAAGAGTCCAAAATCGGAGCTTGAAGATGAAGTGGCTGTGGAAATTTGCAACAGATGAACAAACACTGTGGACAGAAGTGGTTAGGGAAAAAATATGAAATAGAAGGAAACTGGACAACTAAAACTGTAAGAAGGCCATATGGAGTCAGTCTGTGGAGATCAATTAGAAACCTATGGCCAAAATTGATCAACAAAGCAAAATTCAAAGTTTGAAATGGTAGGAAGATCTCACTATGGGAGGACAACTAGATAAGACAAGGACCTCTAAAGGGGCTCTTTCCTGACATTTATACTTTGTGTCAACAACAGAATGCAACAATTGAAGAGGTATGGATAGACCAAGGCTGGAACCTCACATTCAGAAGGATGTTAAATGACTGGGAGATTGACAGAGTTGTGGAGTTCTACAGTTCTTTGCAGCAGTTCAGTGGCATCAACTCAAACCAAGCAAGACCTAATCAAGTGGCAAGGCAATAGTCAAGGGAAGTTCTCTGTTAAGGCTGCCTACAAGGAGTTTAATGTATCCAATAATCAGGTGGATTGCTGGCCATAGAAGATGATTTGGAAAGTTAAAATCCCATACAAGGTGGCTTGCTTCACATGGTTACTGGAAAGAGAACAGTTCTAACACAGGACAATTTAACTAAAGGAGGATTCCAATTATGTTCCAAATGCTACTTATGTGGAGAGAAGGCAGAGACAATTAACCATCTTTTTCTGCATTGCAAGTTCACTATCCAGATATGGAGAATTTTCATCAATTTGAGGGGAATTCAATGGGCAATGCCAGGAAGAGTCCTTGATATTCTAGCCAGCTGGAGTAAAGAGGGCACACTATCTAGAGAAAGAGAGGATGGAGGATTGTCCCAGCCTGTATATGGTGGACGGTTTGGGAAGAGAGGAATCAAAGATGTTTGAAGATAAGTCTAGCAATATTCAGAAGATAAAGATGAAATGTTTAGCTCTTTTCTATATTTGGTGTAAAGGAAAGCTTTTGAAGGATCATGAATCCATTTTACATGTACTAGAGTCCTTATAAGAAGACCAAGGACTAGAAGTGTCTTTCCTTTTTTTGCTAGGGCACTTTCATTGTAATTATGGGTGACTTCACAATTTTAGTGAAGTTCTATATTAATATACAATTATGTTACCTTCTCAAAAAAAAAATAATATCAACAAAACTAAAATGTCAAGAAGTAGTATTAGGACCAATTTGTTTTTGATCGTCAAAAAACTAATTGCAAATTCAAGTTTTGCCAAAGAGATAAACTGATTATTGTTCATAAAAGCTGACTTTTTCATCTACTAACCAAATATCGATTGTAATTAAGAAAACTGATTTAATCAAAAAGCATTAATTCAATAAGGTGAAAACACAAAATCCATTAGTTTCTATCGGCATAAACTTTTGGAGATGATGAACTTTAAATTTTTAGATGAATGCCCTACTTTCTAATGTTTTGGCACTGAAAGAGCAACATTTCTGTTTTAAGTGGCAACATTTTTCAACAGCACGAGTCTGTATAGCTTAATTCACCGGAGGGCTTCATCGATTACATGCATCAGGCTGCAGCTTTCAGAAAACTATTTCTACAGGACTTAGCCAGAGTTTCTACAAACCATTCCAATCAAAATTCTAGGTAAAAAAGCACCAGAACAGAGGGATTTCCTTGTTCAAAATGAATTTAAAGCCAAACTTCATTCACATTCCATCAAGCAAATAGACTTGGTCTAGTACCTTTGGTTGAACAAGTTACCAAGTAAATGGACTTAATAACGTGCATTCTCAATAAGGAATTTGATTTTTTCCTAGAGAACTAAGGGCCTATCTCCTCCGATCCACACAGATACAACAGCATAAACAGGTGGAAGAATAGTGAATATGTTCCCTCTAGGATAAGCTAGAATTATTCAACTTAAGCAAACAAAAGAAGCCAATCTTCTAAGAGGGTGAATAAAATCAACTCTAAGTAGCCAAAACAAGGGATGTATTAAATGTTTAGACTAGAACATACCTCGACCCGCCCATGCAAAACAATAACTTTATCAGATAGGTTGTTTGCCTTCACAATTTCATTTGCCTGGTAACCATAAAAAAATGGATGTGAAATGAAGGTCAAGTTCAAATATTTCACATATTCTTTTTGGATGAAGTAATGTTTTTCATTGAAAAAGGCATCAAGGAGATGCAAGGTTATAAAAGACAGAATTATAAAAAGAACAATCAAATAATTCACATAGTTCCTGTAGAGAAAAACAGTGGAAGAGATCTTTAGAATGTCCAGCTACCAGAGTGTTTCCTCCATCTATTATGATTTGTATAATGTTTACACATGTTCTAAAATAGGAAAGGATAGACAATTGCAGGAACCTCACAGGTTCTTCCTAAGTACATCACTGAAAGCAAAGAAAATCAACGTAATAATAGTTTTAGGATGATTAAAACTTATGGAACTTGAGTAGAGTAATTTATAAATTTTTCATAAGATAATCCAAAATATTTTGTACTTAACATTGGAAAAAAATTATACTTTCTTATTGTAAGTAGGGATTAGTTACTTATTTGTATTTGTACACAGACTAAGACAGCTAAGACTCTTATATAAGGAGCTTCTCTTGTATATCACCAAGAACCAAAATTAACCAAGATAACAAGACAGATCCGCTCATATTTTCTCTTATTTTCACATGGTAACAAAAAGTCTATCTTCGTGGTGGTATTATAAGAGCGAAAAGTACAAAAAAGACACAAGGTTCCAAAGGAGAAAAAACCTCTGCTATTCCTCATAACTCAGTCTTCTACCTTCGTGCTTCCAGCAACTCTTCCTTCACCACATCCAACTTTAATACATAGCCCTATCTTCACTGGAAAGGCATGCCATCCTTGGCCCAAGAGAATTTTTTCCCTCATCCTCCTCAAAACCCTAGGAGCTAAGTTGCTCAGACATGGGTGCGGATGTCTGACACGGGTGCGGATCTAGAGGTCGGATCCTTCGAGATGTAAATTCTAAGATTCGGGGATACAGATCCTAGTACGGATACGGGTGCAGGGATCCGACTAAAAATCATTGAAAAAAATAAAAAAAAATAAAAAAACTCTAAATTATGAGAAATTTAGAGGAATACTTACGTATAGCTTGTAAGGTGTGGATTTCTTTTTTATTCTCAAGTTGTAGATAAGTAAAGGATTAATTTCTTAGATAAGGTATGCTATTTTCTTCCCTAATTTTGGTTATGATTTCGGGAATCAAATTGTATCTTGTCTCTAGTTTTTCCGTCCATCGTGGTCAAAGTACCCAAAATTGTTTGACCAGATCCGGTACGGATCCCATACCCACACCCATACTAGTGTCGTGTCGACACGGGTGCGGCACCTAAACTGCCATGTCGGGGCAACTTAGCCTAGGAGAAACCAGCAAGGGGAAGCGAAAGCAGCGACCTCATCCCACACCATTGCAGCCCTATGTCCAACTAGGTTTATTTCCTATTCCCTCTTTGTCTTTGTTTGCCATCTTCTTCTTTTGTCCAACTTTTTTGGTTTCAATTCCCGTTCAAAGCACCCGCCAGACTTTGATCAGATCTTTACCGTATCAGCAACAGCATCATGTTAGAGTGACACGGATCCGGTGAAAAAAAACGAAGAATCAACAAAGCCGGTAATAAACCGCAGTTGAGACAATAAAGAAGATGTAGGTAATCAACGATTTTGGCCTGGGAACATCTGTTTGCTTCCTTCTTTTTTTTATAACTATGAATTCGTCTGCTTGCTTATGGAATACAATGCTCCCTCCTGAGCTAATATGAGGAAGAAGTATTTGAGACCGGCCAAAGTAAGGCATGGTTTTCTTTTTCTATGCTTGTTTTTTAAGAAATACGCTGCCTTTGCACGATTAAGTTGCTCCATCACGCATCTAAACTTTGTCAAATGACTGAATTTACAATATAAGATAGGATACGTTAGAATACTTCACTGACTTATGTATATTCAAGTGTATTTTACAAGTGAATTACCCCATTGTACTTCTGTCAGACATATTTTGTTTTGCACCTAAACGCCAGCCCATTCTCTTCAAACCCACAAGTGAAGCCTATCAATCCGCCTGTTTTCAGTTTTCCATTGGTCCTCCCATGAAACTTATGTTTGTTTCATCCAACAAACATACAAAAACCGAAAAGAAATATTTCTTCCTTAAATTAATTTTTGGCTGTACGACTAAATACTGCACAAATTGAGCTAAGCGCGGCACCTGGAAGTTCTTTAGAGAACTTTTTTGATTTTTTTTCTTTTTGGTAAGGTAAATTTTACGTTATACTATGAAGTTTTGCAGCTTTTTAAGTTGATAAACAATGAGTTAAATCATGAACATTTGAAATCTTTATGTAGCAGAACTACATCATGCACCACCATCATTGCCCTGAATTGCCTTACTACAAGTTCTTTACAAATTTATCAGATGGAAGGTTAACTTAAAGAAGTTGCATTTGAAGGTTGTGCAAGCCTTTGAAAATGATGCATTACCATCATAAGCACCATAATGAAGCGGTCGATTCTCCCATAACTCATCAACCATATAAAATGTGCAGGGAAACATTACTGTAAGGTGCATCATAGAATCTTAATGCCAAATACAACAAGCTTCAATAGACATCTCCAATAACAGAAGCAAACAAGTACCTGGACAGCTATATCACTTGCATCGACAGCATAAACCTGGGATAAAAGAACATTTGCCTGATAAGTATTATATCTGGAACAAATTAAAGGAGATACCAAATGAAACAAACAAAAAGTTCATTTTGCATCAAGATGTCATGACTTCACTGGTCCACTAAAAACCAGGGTATAAAGAAAGTAAAACACATCAATGATGCGACTTTATTTTGAAAAAGGACGCGGATCTTCCCAAAGACAATTGCAGCTCAATGAACAACCTAAAACTCTGTCATTGTAGCTGAACCAATAGAGAGAGAGAATAAATGAGCCATATGTGTTTTTGCGCAAGAAGGCTGAGGAAACAATCAATCATATGTTCCATCACCATGATCAGATGACTGATTGTTGGGCACCCATTCTTCTGCATTGGTGTATAAAATTGCTTTGAACAATACAGGATCACATGTTGTCTTGGTAGAAACCAAAATCTTGGATGACCATCCAAGATACTTATTTTGGAGCATTTGATGGGAACGCAGCAAAAAAACTTACAAGGAGAAGGTTTTCCAAAGAATAGATTAACCATTGGTCAAACTTTAAACTATGGAGCAATGACAAGTTTATCCCATCTTCTCTTGACTTGTTTTGACCTTCTGGTTGAGCTAAGCTTGTACAGCTGGATGTTTTTGAAAATGGCACTTACCATCCTGCTTTTGCATGTTCTTGCATCACCAACTTTAGAATGTTTTGGCACCCCGCTGGTGCCCTATAAATGGAATTTGACACTGTTATGTACCAAGATAAAGAATGTGCATATTGTGAATATACGGTAAGTGTTGCCTGCAATCTAGCAGGCATCTATGACAGGTTAATATTCCAGTGATAAATAGGGAATGTCTTGCAATTTTCCGTGTTGACTATTCACGGCACTTTTACTCTTTAGAACATATTACAATCCAGCAATAGCTGGCTGAGTTTGTCTATGTGTGTACATACATAAGCCCATAACATTTCCTCAAAAGTTAAAAAGAGGCGTGGAAATAACTCCAATCTGGTAACTGAACTCAGATTGATGAAATTTCATCTGAAACGGACTTAAAGATATCTTACTCGTCTTGCACCCGCCTGAGCACAAAATATAGATAGGATGCCAGTGCCACATCCAACATCAACAACAACCTGATCAATGTAAATTTAGTTATACTATAGGCATAGACGATACTGATCGATCTCTGTAATGAAAATATAAATAATTCAGAAATAGTGAAAGACTTAGATAGCAATACAATTTGAGATCTAATAAATCTTAGGATTAGCATTTGGTGCACAAGGAAGTATTTAGATAGTTGTCTTACTTTTCCAGCAATGTAGCTTTGATGCTGAAAAATTGCATTCCTATAACTTTCAGTCCGGGCACGATCCTGCGAATTCCAGCCATAAGTTAACATGTCCCTTATATATAGGTATATTTGAAAATAGAAACACAAGGGAAAAGGATTAATAGAAGTTCAATGGCAAGCAGAATAATTAAATTCGCCTACAACACAACGAGAAAAATACAAAATTAAATAATGTTATCCAGCCTGGAAAAGAGAATATTTTTCCAATGACGGTAAGCCTAGAAGTATATGATATTCCAAAGGCATGTTATAAATCTTGAAGGTATTACTTAAACTTCTTCAAAGAAATACTCCCTCTTGTTTTTTTTAATAAGTACTAGTCCCTCTTGCAATTTAGATAAAACTCTTTCCTTTCAGGAATGTCCAAAAAATTTAACACCATTCCTTTTCGATATAACTTTCACAATTATCAAAAATTTAAATTCATTAAGATATTCAAGTTTTAAACTTTTATATGATATTTTCTCCAACTATCAATAGTATAATATACAATTCAAAATCTTAAACTCCGTTCCAAGTCAATTACCATTATATAAAATGAGATAGAGGGACAATATAATTTGAATTACATTATAATTCCATAACTCTGTAAGTTCAGCTCTCTCGCAGTTACACTCCCTAAAGAACTGATTTTATGACTCTCTCTCTCTCTCTCTCTCTCTCTCTCTCTCAGCCTAACATGTATAGCCAATTAATCCTATAATTCTGTAACTTCAGCTCCTAATGCATTTCGCTCCCTAAAAGCTGATTCTTGTGAATGTAAATAGACATGTATACATGCCAACCCAGCCTAACATGTATGCCAATTAATCCTAAAAGTCTGTAACTTCAGCTCCTCAAGTGTTACACTACCTAAAAACTGATTCTTCCGAATGTATGTAGACATGTACACATGCCAACCAAGTCTAACATGCGGAGCCACTCCTCCAATAGCAATCTTCCATTTCAACCATCCTATTTAAATTCTTTGTGTTACATCTACTCGCAATATTGCAAGTAAATTACTCCAAACGCCTACACAGGAATGGACAAATCTGTCAAAAACCATGGATTCAAATTTTATATATATATATTCGAAAAGAGTTTAAGTAATATACACTGTCAGTGTAAAGAAATTTTACACTATAAGTCACATTTACCTATTTGTAAGGTGTAAGGGTAACCTTCCCTGTTTTAAGGATTACAAATTCCACTTGCAGATATCTTTGCGTGACTTGATAATAATATGTGTAACTTAAAGTCTTTCGAAATATGAAACATGTATATAACCGTACTCATTAAACTTCTAGATCCACAATGTAACCACGAGATTGTTTAAACATTAAGGTACCTTAATCATTTCTTCGTGAATGCCAACATGAGCGTATGAGTTGAAATATGCCGTATCAAACTCCGTACAAGGAGGTGCAGGTTTTTCCTTTTCCTCCTCCTCATCTTCATGCTGCTGTGGATGTTGTTGCCATTGAGAAACCCTAGGAGCACTGTCGTTGCCAATACTACTTCGACGGCCACGTGACCTGCCGCGGCTGCCCCTGCGTACTCGATGACCGCCTGAGATTCCGCCGGACACGGCGGCGCCGTCGTGGTGGTACCCGTTTGCGTAACCGCCGTCTGTTGGTTGGAACATTTTTTTGGTCCTACGCGCTCCTCTGAGTCTCAGTCTCTCTCTCCCACCGGCCCAAACTATACTGTGAACAGAGAGAAGGGAAGGGCAAACTAGTGTATTCTCAGTTTCTCACACAGCTGACGCAGTTTTTTTTTTTTTTTTTTTTTTTGTGAAAATTTGATAAATAGCCACTTTTTAGGTCGGTTTTAGAATTTAGTCATACTGTAAATTGTATTGGCAAAGTAGCTACTCACTTTTGTTCCAGTTTATGTGAACATATTTCCTTTTTTGTCCATTAAAAAAAATGATCCCTTTTTGAATTTAGTAACAATTTGGCTTAAACTTATAACTTTACCCTTAATGAAAAGCTACTATAACCACACAAATACTCTAGGCCCCTTTTTGACTTGTTTAGGACTACAAATTCCAAAAATTCATTTTTTCTTAAAGTTCGTGCCCATTCAAACAAGTTCATATAAATTGGAACGGATGGAGTATTCATTAATATGAAATACAAGTACCCTATTTAAAATACGTAACCTACTCTAGGAACGATTATTGGACTTTGAATATTTATAAGTTCAAAATTCATTAATTGTTCCTGGAGTTTGAATGACCAAAATAGTAGCTCTCAATTGTTGAAATATAATATTTATTCAAAAATCATGAATCGTTCTTGGATTTTGCACTAATAAATGTTTAAAATCAGTAATTTTTCGTGGATTTTATATTTAAAGGTTAAAAATTGCTGAAGTATAATGAGAATTTTAAAACCATGAATTATTCTTGAATTATTCTGGATTTTGCACTAGTAAAGGTTAAAAAAATCAGTATGTTTTCCTGGATATGTATTTAGAGGTTGTTTGGCTAAACTTATAAGGCATAAGCTGGTCAAATTGACTTATAAGTACTTTTTGGTTTATCTACGCGTTTGGTAAACAGTCAAAGTACTTATAAGCCAAGTGCTTATAAGCTAAAATCAATCATACGTCATAAGTTGGTCACCTCCAACTTATGGCTTTTCAACTTATAAGCACTTTTAATTTGACTAATACTTTTACTAGTTTATCCTTAATAATATTTTTTAATTCACAAAATATTTTTCCCAAAATAAATATTCTGACTTTCTCTTTATTCCATATCATTGTTAATTCTTTTCTTTACAAAGAATTTTTTTAATTTATAATCTTTTGAAAAAAAAATCAAGGGTATTTTAGTTATTTTAACAAAAGAATAGCTTAATTATTAATATTTTTTATCAAACACATCAACTGCTTATTATCAGTTTCATCACTTCTATCCACGCATGTAAATGCTTATTTTAAAAATCAGTTTCAACACTTAAAAAAGCTTTTTAGCACTTCAAACATTTCAGTTATTTACAATAAGTTAATCCAAACGGGCTCTAAAAAGCTTCAATTACTAAAGTATAATGTAAATTCAAAAATCATGAATTGTTCCTGGATTTTGCACAAAGTTAAAGAACCAATAATTTTTCTTGGATTCTATATTTAAAGGTTAAAAATTGTTGAAGTATAATGTGAATTCAAAAATCATGAACCGTTCTTAGATTTTTTCTGAATTTTATACTCGTAAAGGTTCAAAAACCAAGAATCGTTCATGGAGTTAGGATTTTGTACTAGTAAACGTTCAAAATTGCTGATTTTTGAAAATTACAGCATAGTTTACTGGAGTTTCATTTGTTAAAGTTCCGAACTCCAGTACCGATTCAAAAAATAACCAGAACTAATCTTGAAGAAAGCACTTGTCATCAAGTATTGGTAGTTGTACCCATGCTTAAACAGAGAAGAAATCGTGAAGTAAAGCAATACAGAGACAACAAAAAATGGAAAAAGATGGAAGTTCTATTACAACTCAGAAAGTAAATACTTATGGGTGAACTGGAAATGTAACAAGTAGAAAGGCGATTCAAGCCAACAGTGATCAACCTCCAGAACCACAGACAGATAGTTTTCAACTTCACAATGATTGGATAAATATAACACAAACAGGTTCTTTGTTGGAATGAGTTATGAACAGACTGCATACAAACATGAAATGCGGCGACTCCTTATTAGAGGAAGTTCTATTTGTCCATGATCCCTGGCTCTGAGAAACGTCATGCCTGGATCTCTCCTGTAGAAAGCATGAAAATAAGTAAGACGAAAGAGAGAAAGAAAGAGACTACTAGTAAGATTATACAATACTCCATATACTGTAGTACAATAAATGCCTAAACATACCAAAAAAGAAAAAAGAAAAAGATAGGTATTCTCTATTCCAAATCATGTCTGAATAATATTTCGAAGTAACAAACACAACAAAATGAATAATCATGGTGGCATTGTTGATCTGAAGGATACACAAACTTTGCCGTACGTAAGATTTACCGGACATTAGACTAAACAAAAGACATTATGTAGAGATAGATGCAGTTTCATGGAATCTTTAATAACAACGACAGCAGCTGGACATGAATGTAGTTGTGTAACTTCAATTCCATTGAAACTACAATGTATATTAAGAGAAAAAAATGAAAACTGACCCCTTCAGTATGTGGGCTCGTACTACTCAGCTTCAGGAGGGAATATGGTGAGCTTGAATTTGGTGCTATCCATTTTCTTGCGCTCTATTTCTCTAGCTGATTTGACTGCTCTACGTGTGTGCTCCAGATTCATCTCTTGAAGGCTAGGTACGCCAGCCAGCTCACATGGCACAGCCTGAAGCCTTTCACAACATATAAGAACAAGGTGCCTAAGTCTTGGGAAATGAAGTTCTGAAGCCTCCCAAATTTCCAACTCTGCCCTTTGAATCCACAAGACCTGGAGTTGACTAAAACCTCCTCTCTCCGGTCTCCAGGACTCTCCTGCAAATGCATTTTCTTTCAACTTAAGGACCTCAAGGCATTCCAACTGCCCCAATCTTTCCGCCTCACTCCAATCAAACCTTGTGTTTGACAAAGTTAGCTTCTTCAGTGTACGTAAAAATTTGAAGAATGATGGAGGAATGTGAAGTGTTTTACCCCAGGAATGAATATCATTCAACATTTTCAAATGTTCCAGGCACTTCAACTCTTCAAGATTGCACCATCCACCCTTACTAGTTCCAAGAAAATCAATCATTCGCCCTTGGATTTTCAGTTTTTTGAGATTACAAGCTTTTGCAAGTATATCTTTTGTGCAACTTTCCGGTGAAACCACAGAAAGTGTTTGTAGGCAAGAAGCTTTACCCTTTGGGTTATGAGGAGGAGATGGCAATTTGGCAGGAATGTTTGTGTGCAGATGCCTTAGCCGTAACATATTCCATATGTTTGCTTTTATGTCAAGGGTGGACTTCGACGTACTTGTATTGAGTATAAGAGTTTGTAAATTCCAAAATTTACCAAAGGATTTGGGAAGAGACTTAATGTCAGCTGAGATAGCAATATACCTCAAATGAAATAACCTATTAAAATCATCTTTGGAAAAAACAAAGTTGAAGGATTGAATGTCCAAGACCCGGATCAATGGAAAAGCTTTGGGGATGAGTTGGATGTCGTTACCAGACAACTCGATTTGCCTTTTTTCTGAGGAAAAACAGTAAAAAGATCTAACATGCTCTGCGAGCGGTTCTGCGGAGAGAAAATCATTCAAAGCAGAGGATTGAATACACAATCGACGAGAAGCAACTGGGTCTTGTATTGTAAGAATAGCCTGATCTGGTGTTGGACGTACTTCTTGAAAAAGCCATTTGCTACTAGCTTCCTCTTTGCAGAACTGATGCAACATGCCCTGAACACAACATGTTTTTACATTACCATCACAACTCTTCTGTAACGCTGTCACTAAATTTCTATTGACAAGGTTGTTCAAATAAATCTTTGCTGTCTCCTCAAGGGCTTGTGAACCATTGGGCTTGATTAAACCTTCAGCAAGCCATAGCCGAATCAATTTCCAAGCAGGAATACTAAAGGCTTGAGGAAAGACACCAAAATACAAGAAGCACGCTTGCATTTCTTCGGACAATAGAGTGTAACTTGTGTTTACAAATTTCAAGCAGCTTGAAGGATCTCCTCTATCCATAAGATGCTGCTCCACCTTTTTCTCAACTCTTTGCCAGTCACTTACTTTTGTGCAACGTAATAATGTTCCTGCAATTGTCAATATTGCAAGTGGTACTCCGCTACACTTTCGAGCTATGCTTTTTACAAATCCTTCCAACTCAACAGGACACCTTTCCTCACCAAAAATTATTCCATTCAACAACTCAAAACTTTCATAATCACTCAGAAATTTCATATCATGAGGATTTTGACTGCAACACTTGGCCACTGATAAATCGCGAGTGGTCATCATGATACGGTGGCCTTTATTGTTTTTCGGAAAAACTGATACAAGAGAGTTCACAACTTGTGAGTCCCATACGTCGTCCAAGACAATAAGACATCTACCTCCTTTTGCAACAAAATCATGTATTATCTGAGCTAATTCATTCACATCCTTATCATGATAATCTTCGAGGCGTCTCATGAAGCAACGGAGAATTTTCAGAAAGATATCCTTCAAGTTGTATGATTGGCCAACATAAATCCAAATGACAAAGAAAAATTCATACAGGATTCGGGAATCATGATAGACTTTCATTGCCAGTGTGGTTTTGCCAAGCCCAAACATACCCACAATTGGGATAACATCTAGCTCATTTGTTCCTTCAACCAGTCGGTGGATCACTATGTTTGCTTCCTCATCCAAACCGACCACTTCGTTATTTCTGACCACTTCGTTATTTTCGAGCCAAGCATCCTTTTTAAGATGAAACAGATTTCATATAAATTACAGAGTTGAGAACCTACTTTTTTGAATAAAAACAAAACAAAAAGTCTTAATTTCGTATAAAGCTGCCTTAAGACAAAACTCTATGCAAATGTCAAATAATATACCAGAGATTAGCTGTCTATTTCTCACAGGTCTTTTAGAAAAGAATTAAAATTTTATATACACTGACATGTAAAGAATTTTTCACATATATGTGTCCAATTTTCTTATTCAAAAGTTGTCATATGAGTCCATTATATGTCCAGAAAGGTAAACAAAAAAGAATTCATTTCGTAATTGACTTTTGTGGCAAAATGTTTCTCATGAATGTCCAAAATCGAGAAATTAAATTAATGCAAAAAGGGAAATGTAAAACAAGTTTAACAATCATGTCAGCTATCACAGAGATAAAAAGCTGGATAGTTTACCCCATATGAAAGAAAGAATAACTTGTGGTTATGTGCAAGGGATGCCAGGATGATTTGTGGATAGCCTATTATTTCCAAGTAAAAAGCAGCAAAAAGTTTATCGAACGTAGATTAGTGCATACTCAAAAGGAAAAAAGGATTTGTGGTAAAAGTGAACTTATGTTGACAGACTTAGAGCCCGTTTGGCCAAGCTGCCAAAAATTACTTATTTTGAGAAGTGCTTTTGCTCAAAAATGCTTTTTAAAAAAGTATTTTTGAAAAATTACAGTTTGTGTTTGGCCAGTTCATTTGAGAAGTACTTTAATAAGCAAATTGTGTTTGAACAATCTTTTCAAAAAGTACTTTTGAGGGTCAAGTTACAAAAAAAGACAATACATATTCAATTTAGAAATAATATATTATTTAAAAGAGATAAATGAATTTAAATATTTATTATAAAAAAATAACTAATTTTTCTTTTAATTTAATTGGAGTATAAAATATAAAGTAATAATATATACTCCCTCCGTTCCAATTTATGTGAACCTGTTTGACTAGGCACAAAGTTTAAGAAAAAATAGAGACTTTTGAAATGTGTGGTCCTAAACAAGTCAAAAAGGGACCCAGAGTTTTTGTGTGGTTATAAAAGCTTCTCATTAAGGGTAGAATTGTAAGCTTAAGCTAAATTGTTTTCAAATTTAGAAAGGGGTCATTCTTTTTGGAACAGACAAAAAAAGAAATAGGTTCACATAAACTGGAACGGAAGGAGTATTACAGATTTTAATAAATGTAATAGTTATCCAAAGCAACAATATTAGGTATCCGGTATTACTTAGTGTTTACATTGATGATTTAAATATATCAAAATATAGTCATTCAGTATAAATTTAGAATCTACTTCATTAATCTATATCTATCTATATTATTATAAAAGCACGAATGTTTCACGCTAAATGTTAAGTGACAAAAAACATCCTTGAAATATTAATTGTCTTTTATGCCCTTTAAAAATAAACTATTTCCTTAAGAAAATAATTCAATACTGGATAAAATTGTAATATTTAGACTACTTTGAATTCAACTAAAATTCTGTCACCTTAAATTCAAAATTAGTCCGATCGAAATTGAGTATGATAAGTACTTCGAATTATATCACAAATACATCACTTAATTAACAATATCCATATCGCAGAAGAAGGCAATCCCTACCATTACCCATAAATTCAAGACAGCACTTCACAGACTTCTTTGTGGGAACTTGGCATACAACTTCTCTAAATCTACTCTAAGTTGATGCACGTGTTTCGATGAGTTACTTGGTTGCTGAGGAGTAGCAGTTATGTTGTCGAAGTTGAGATTTTTGTTAAAATTGGTTTTTAGATTTAAAAAAGTGGACTACGTATGGTTCCAATCGGATATTTGTTATTCTTAATTTTTTGAAAATCAACTGTTTCTTTTTCTTGATAATACTAGTCTTATGGTACGCGCTTCGCGCGTGTATCCTATATTCATGAATATACATTTTTTTTAAATCTCTCTATCTATCTTACATATCTATATAATATGTTAGTTGTATATTCATGAACATAGGATACAATTTAGTCCAGCGTAAAATCAGTATTTAAAAGGTAAAATGGCGAACGACATATATCCAAACAATAGGTTCTTACTTATTCTTTGTTGACTTTGTCGTTTTTAGTTTTCTTGTTCGTCATTATATTCAAATTCATTCTCTCATTTGAACTGATGATATAATAATTTTGATTGAATTTTTCAACCAAAATAGAAGACAATATATCTTAATATTCTCGATCATTCTTTGACTCAAAGAAAAATTATTAAAACGTGTGCGACTTAGTTCAGTGATACTCAATATTCACGATTGTTATTAGATCATGATAAATAATGAAACTGAATTTAAAATTTTGATTTTCTTCTTTGGATATGAATTTGAATAAAGATTTATTTACGCAATAGTAATAAGAAAAAATTTATATAAGTTAAAATTTTATTCAATTTTGAATTCCTAAATATTAGAACTTCCTCAGAATAATTCAAATAATTAAAGATTAAGAGCAAAATTTTAGTTAATTTTGAAGTTTTAATATTAGATATAATTAAATGATAATAATTATTATCTAACATAAAATATAATTTATGTGTTATCCATCATGAATGATTAAATAATTTATATTAAAAAATAGCAAATTTGTAATTCAGATTAAACTCTTTGTGCGCATATATAAAATTTGGATTAACACTACTAACATGATCCAAAAAGGTAATCAACAAAAAAAATAGATTTTGAAAATATATTTATGATTCATAGATGTTCAATCCTACAAAATTAAAAAGAAGACAAAAATTTGCAAAATTCGTTACAATTCCAAACATGTTTAAAACATGTAAACATGGAAGGATCAAATTTGAGGGCAGTAGCTACACGATTTAAATAAGGAAAAAAATATTTATAAGTAAAATTTTACTCAATTTAGATTCCTAAATATTAGGAGTTTCTAGATAGCTTAAATTAAGAAAGATTTAAAATAAATTTTCTTACTTTAAAGTCCTAAATATTAGGTAAATAATTAAATGACAATTACAATTTTGTCCAATATAAAGTCTAATTTTAAAGGGAAAAAAGGCAAACGACATTTCGCTAAAGGCTTTCGTGTTTTTAATATAGTATAGATATAGATTTGGTTTAATATCCCGGAGAAAAGTAAGAATATACCAGTGGGGAATAATGCTTTAGATAGATGAAAACAAAAACCCTTTGATTAGGGTCTAGCATAAAGCCATAAAAACTTATGCAGTGCTCTATACAATTAATACAACACCGTACCATAGATCAAGCATATATGAATATTCATAGATTTTGATGTCTGATTTAAAGTCTTAGAGCAGTTTTAAGCCATAGATCATATTCTTAAATCAGACAATTTAGCGCAAAACCATAGCGAAATCAAACTTAGAGATTTCGACTGAACATATTCCTCTTGCACTAAACCATAGATCATAATCCTCTTGCACTAAATTGGTTGATTTAAAGTCTTAGAGATTTTGACTCTCGAATTCAAAATACTCGTGCAAGGCACGAGCATAGAGACTAGTATTATTATAAAAACATGAATAATTTATGCTAAATGTTGAAGGACTAAAATATCCCCAAAAATATTGATCGATTTTTATGCCCTTAAATATTTGTATAATTTAAGGATCTAATTGTAATTACACATAATGATGGAATTCTTTTTTTGATTTAAACTATATATACGATGACCCTACAAAGTTGATCCTACTTGGATTAGAAAGGCATGTCCATAATTTCCTCTTTTTTTTTTTTTTTTTTTTTTTATTTACGTAAGATGCCTAGCATATAATGAAATTGCATACATGGAACTTTAACATTTTTTTTGTATTTTGTGATTTGTTTTATTTTTTTGTATGATTTTGTTGTGATCGGACAAAAAATGAGCCATTATGTGCTGAATTTAGGAAGGAAAAAAGCTAAATAAAAAGCTTAAAGATTTGACTAAACCAACCATAATTAAATTATTCATCTTCAAAGCCTAAAAGCTTACATATAACCAATTATTTAGAATTCAAAGGTTCTTACATGCAGTAAAATTTATTATACATGTAATTGATGGAGTTTTATATCTTTAAAAAATTAAATCACCCTCTCAAATAAGTAATAGATGAGTTTTTTTATGTACAAGAAATTTAGTATATGTATAAGTCTTTCCGCGGTTTATAATAAAAACAACTAAAGATACATACTCCTACCTTTATAAGTCTTTCTAAAACCAGCCGTATATTCGATCGAAAACAAAGATAGAATAGATAGAAGCACGGTGAACTACACCAAGTAAGGGAGCAAGCACATGCCTTCTGACATCAATATGATGAATGAAAACAAATTAAAATTTATGCAGTTGGACTTCTACTACATTAATTTTTATGTCATAGTTCAACAAAATATGTTCTGAATATTAATGCGGTTAAAAATATTACTATTTCTTACACAAAGTTTCCATTAAATGACAATAATTCTATAAACGACGTGGCAACACACGTCTATAGAGACTAGTACAATATTAAAAGCACGAAGGCATTTAGCGAAATGTCGTTTGCCTCTTTTACCCTTTAAAAATAGAGTTAATATTGGACAAAATAGTCATTTGATTGTTTTCCTAATATTTAAACAAGTAATTTAATTATTTTCCTAATATTTAGGAATAATCATTTAACTATTTCCCTAATATTTAGGATTTGATTTAAAATTATATTATTTAATTCGAGTCCTTTTAATTACGTACTTATTAGGAAAGTTTTGACCATGTTGTACTCCTTTTAGGTTTAGGAGGGTTTCTTTTTTGCCAATAAAATTTTATCAAACTTTCGACTCCATTTAGATTTAGGAGTACTATTAACTCATTATTTTGAGCCATGAGTATTGTTTTTATTCTATGAACATTAAATATTATCAGTCCTTTCGTTAGATTAACATTGGACTACCTTTTGAGTTGTTTTTTCTTAATCCTTCTAATACAAACATCATATAAGTATGTAAAACTAAGAAGCTTTTATTTCAATGTCGAGCATCAAAGAAATTGATTAAAATTGTCAAGTTTGACACCAACTAAAATTTTATTTCTTATTTACCTTTTTTGAATTATTAGAAATTCCTAACATTTTCGACTTTAGAATTAATTATGATTTTTACTTTATGTATATATTGTCACTAATATTTAGAACTTTGAAATGATATAAAATTTTATTTATTAATTTTTTCTTTATTTTAGAAATTCAAATTTAATATCTAAAATTATACTTTATAATGTTATAGAATTATAGAACGGATAATCAAGTCATAATTAAGAACACAAATGACGTTCTATTTATGCATATGAAGCGAAGGAAATAAATCATAGAGATGAGTTTGAATGGATCAAATGTCTCATCTATCAACGCATATATTAGTTCCTCCATAATCAACTTAGAGCAACAAAAAAAAAGGTCTTGCTCCAAAGCATAGACCTGCACAAATCTTTTGTTTGGTCAAGCTTTAAAAAACAGCTAATTTTAAAAAGTACATTTGGCAAAATAATAGGAACATACTTTTAGAGAGCGACTGTTTGTAATTTGTTAAATTCATTTGAGAAGTGTTTTTTTAGTATATGATAAATATGTTATTGTATTTGGCCAATCTTTTCAAGAAATGTTTTTGAGTGCCATAAACGGAAATATGGAATGATGATTAAGGATTTCTATAAGATAATTTTTTTTTCTTTATTGATTTAGCTATATATAATTAATATTCATTAATTTTATGAGTTTAAACCATTATTTTATAACTCTAACATATAATATAATATTTATGTGATTATTTTTAAAAATAATTACTCATCAAGATGAAGTACACGCGCGTTGCGCGTAAAGTAAAACTAGTCCTGTATAAAACAAAGAGATCTCTTTATGGTGGAGAGACTATATTAAAGAAGAAAAGGAGAAGAGAATAAAAATACAATAGAAATAAAATAAATAAAAAGAAAGGGACGGTAGAAACAAAAAAGAGAAAAGAAAAAATAAATTTTTTGAAGGATAATTTGAAAAATATAAATTTATAGTAAGGACACTTTTGTCTTAAAAAATTTAATTTTCTTATTCTGCTTCTGCTTTTTTGGAAGAACCTAAAATTTGTAGCTTCTTCCCAGAAGCAGAAAAACTGCTTCTGCTGCTGCTCAAAAGCACTTCTCCATCTTGGCCAAACACATCAAATTTCTAAAAAAGTACTTTTTCTAATAAAAAAAGTACGTTTGGCCTCCCACAAGCTTGGCCTGTTTGGTCAAGCTTCTCCAAGCATTTTTTTAATTTTTTTTTTCAATGTTGAAGTGTTTGTCCAAGCTTTTAGAAGAAAAAAAGTGTTTTTGAGTAGAATCAGAAGCAGTTTTGGAGAAGCAAAAAAAAGTAGCTTTTCTCCAGAAGCACTTTTGGAAAAAATACATTTAGTACTTTTTTACAGCTTGGCAAAACACCAATTGCTACTCAGAAGTGTTTTTCAAATTAATTAGCCAAACACAAACTTCTTCTCACCAAAGTACTTTTGAGAAAAAGCACTTCTCAAAATAAGCTAGCTAATTTTAAAAGTTTGGCCAAACATGCTAGTACGAGTGAGAGAAGATAAATGCTCCTTAATTGAGAAACATCTTGGTGTGTCTAGTATGAAGGAAAATGTTTTCTTAAAAATAAGTGATTTTCTTACTTATTTTTTTGATGTTTGGTTAGATTGCAGAAAATATTTTTAAAACATATATATTATTTAGGCAAAATACTACATAAGATGAAATGGATAAGGGCGAGGGATAGTGGTAACTCCGGGTCTAGGGACCGGAATAACAGTGGCGATGTTGGGGGTAGGGGCAGGGGGTGGTTATTAGAGTGGGGCTGAGGATGGGACGGTTGCAGCCTGTCGATATAAGTTCAATTTTACTACAATCCTTTTTTCTTTTGAGCTTTAGAGCCTGTTTGGAAAGCTACGTAGGAATTGGATTTGTGTGTAATTAGGTGTAATTACACAGTTTCGCATGTTTGTCTAGCCAAGTAATTACTTGGCCAACATGAAATTTGGTATAATTGAGAGCGTGTAATTACACTCTCTAATTCTCAAGGGAAAGGTGAAAATTTGTGGTAAGTAATTACAAGATAATGTAACTTTCTAATCTTTTTTTTAAAAAAATTTCTTTCAAATATATTAATTATTATTTTATTTACAATTTTTTTTTCATTTCTCTTATCTCAATATTTAACCTTCCAACGTGTTGCTTATGGTGTGCTTCCATATAAGTTTACAACTTCTCGTATTTTGCTTCTTCCTTTTCTATTTTTTTTAATTTTCTTAGTTGTTAAACATAATTTTATACTTTATTAGCTTTATTTTCTATTCATTAGTATAAATTAATCATTAAAAATACCTTCTAAACTCATATTTATCCTTTTGTTATTTAAAAAGTTCAGCAAATTATTAATTTCATATTTTACTCCTATGAGTTGGTAAAAATGTTAATTCATAATTGAAACTTTTAATAATTATCTAAATTTAAAATATTACTTATTTGAAAGATGGTGAAGATACCAATAATTCTTCCTGATATTAGTTATTAATTTATAGTTATTTAATATTTTATTTTTTAAAAAATATAGTTTAAATATCTGATTATAGATAATATCTATTGTTTCTTATACATACTTGTATTTATCACACATTAATGAGTTAGTAAAAAATTAAATCATTTTATAATTTTAATTTATTAATTTAAGCAGTACTATTATTTATTTATTTATTTATTAAAAAGATACTTATTACTTTTAAGATATTATTATTAATTTATAACTATTTAATATATTATTTAATATGTATCGATAGGTTAATCTAAAAAAAGTTTATGTAACTATGTAATTACACTTGTCCAACCAAACATGAAAATGACAAACATTGTAATTACGTTCTAGCAAACAAATAAGATATTGTAATTACTATACTATATAATTACCAGGGTTTGTAATTACAAACCCTAGTAATTAAACAGTCAGGTAATTACACATGACTTTCTAAACACTCCTACAGTTTTTTAATTGTAGGATCGAAAGGAATTCTCTCTTTGATGCGTATACAATGATATTTAATTGAGCACGAGATTTAGAAAAAGATGATTGACACATAATTTAGATATAGGCAATATATATCAAAAGTAGCCTTGCCATCTTGTGATCATCAAGAGGGATTGCTTTTTTTCCCAACAAAAGCCATATTGTTATAGGCAAAATTAAAATATTAAAAAAAAAGAATTCTCCAATATAAAAAGTGTCTTTTTTTTGTGAACAAACCAAAAAAGAAAGAGCATTATATTAAATGTAATGGAGAATACTAGGGGTGTACATATATCGGGTTGGTTCGGATTTTACAATTACCAAACCAAACTAATTGTGCCAGATTATTAAATCTAAAGACCAAACCAACCAATAAAACTCGGGTTTTTCACTCTCGGGTTTTCTCGGATTTTCGGATTTTTTCGGGTTTTTCCGATAAAATCTTCGTAGAACAAAACATATAAATTATGCACAAAATATTTCTTTAGTCCTAGTAAGATACAACTATATAAAATATTTTCCAAGAAAATAATACAAAATATGAGATATGTCATGGCATTATCCTAAAATATTCAACAATAAAATTATGTAATATAAATATTGCTAACTAAAAAGCCATAAATAATAAAAATAAACATAATCTAAGAGTACTAAGTCATGCTAAAATAAGTAGACTAATAAGGGAGTATTAAATACATTACTAAATGCTAAGGAAAAAATAAAAATAGGTTGTGCATTTTATCTAAATTATTGCAAAACAAAAAATAGATATTCAATACATTCTCGTTCGTAGTATTGAATTAAATTTCTTTTGTTAGCATTAGTATTCATTTAATTTTGGTTTGGGCTTTTGTTAGCACTATTTAATTTACTAATGTTAATGGCTATAAAACTTATTGGAACATTCAAAAGTTCTAAGTCCAACCTTGAAATAATACCTCAAAAAATAAAATTATGAAATCTTTTAAGAAATATTTATAAATTACATCACAATAAGTATATTTATATATTAAATATATCTAAAATTTCTATATATGTAATGTCGGGTTGGTTTGGTTTCGGTTTGACTTTCTTTAGTTAAAATCAAACCAAACCAATTATGGTCGTGTTTTTTTTTCCAACACCAAACCAAATCAAACCAACCTATAATTGGATTTTTTTCTCAGTTTGACTCGGATTATCGGGTTGGTACGGTTTGTCGGTTTCCTTTGTACACCCCCTAAGTACAACTATTCTAGCATTAGTATTATATACCATCTGTCCCAACTTATGTATACTTTTTCTTTTTAGTTTATTTCAAAAATAATATTATATTTAGAATAATTTAACTTTAAACTTTTCATTTACCCTTAACAACATATTTATAACTATACATATTGACTTGTTATAAACCACACATTTTAAAAAGTCCGTTTTTCATCGAGTAAATTGTAATTCGATATTTTTTTTATCTTTGTTGAAATTTGGTATATGCTTGTGCCTGATAAAATAAAATGCCATGGAAGAAGATCGCAGGATCGGAGGGTTTAAGGCATACCTGCGGTTCGACAGAGGGACCGTCTTTTCTAGGCAGAACGTCACGCGCCTCACGGCGCATATCTTCAATCAGGACTCGCTTAGCGTCGGGATGATTTTTGCCATGAATAAATCGATTAATCCTATCAAGGATGCTGTCGATCTTGCTTGAAAGATCCTGGACTCTATCGCCGCGGTCAAAGTCCAAGCATTTTATTCCGAAGAGATTTTTCTCTTGCTGCAGCTTCGCCTGAAGCAGGAATTCATCAATCTCATCCTCAATTTCATATACTATACTTCGAATGACCTTCTCCAAGTTTTTAAGCCGCTTGCTGTCGCTTTCTTTTTTAGAAATTATACCCCCGACGGAGTCTTGTAGCCTTTCAACTTGTTCCAGCAAACGTTGAAACTCTTCCTTTACTGCACCTGTTATTAGCTTTACCTCTTCGTTAATTAACAGCTGCAATTTCTCCACCAGAGAACTCACCACTGTAGCTGCCATCGATCTCTCTTAATTTCTTAGCCATGATTTCTTCACTTTGCCATATGTAACTATCTATATAATAGTTATATTATAAATATATAAATGGAGGCGATGGAGGAGATTATTTCAAGTTAATTCTTTACTCTGAATTATTTAGCCTAGTCTTTCTATATATTACATTCTTAGAGCACGCTTCATGCGCCACCTAACATTTTACTAACTCTAATGACAGCTGGTAACCCACAAAATTAAAATAGAGTAAATTACACTAAACCCGAGGTAATATGAGATATAGCCTCTGTATTTTCAAATCCTACAAATTATAATAATTGTTATAAAACTAAAGAGAGGGATTCATATATTATTCAATTTCAAACTATGTACATAGTGAATTGAAATTTCTTCTATTTATAGAAGAAAGGAAGCAACTGTGAGGCTTTTCAGGAAGCAGCTGCGAGGCTTTTTTTGAGCTGCTTGTAAGTTGTCTGCATGGGCTACTTGCAACCTGCCAGTTTAATAAAAAGTTGTTGCAAATCATTTCATTGAGTTGTTTGTAACCTGCCTGCATCAGCTGTTTGTAGATAAACTTCAATGGAGTACTAAAGGGATAATCTTCTTCAAAAAAATTATCTATAGCGGAGTATTAAATGAACATTCACAATGTAATTATTTTCATAACACTTCCCCTTGGATGGTCATTAAAAGATATTGTGTCTCGTTAAAACCTTACTAGGAAAAATCTCGTGGGAAAAATTCTTAGTCAAGGAAAAAGAGTACACTAATAATATACATTGCAAGTTGCCTCATTAAAAATCTTACGAGGAAAAACCTAGTAGGAGAAAACCTAAGCAACGGAAAAAGAGTACAATGCATATTTTACTCCCTCAGATACAGACGTTGTTACAAATACCCAAGTCACTGTGTAGGATAATAGCTATATCTTGCTAGTAAATTAACAGAAAATGTTATGTCAGGCCTTGTAGCATTAGCAAGATACATAAGTGTACTAATTGCACTATGATATGGTATTTCAAGACCAAGGAGTTCATTATCCTCTTCTGGAGGTAAGAACGGATCCTTATTCACTTTAAGTGATCAAAAAATCATTGGTGTACTTAATGGGTGTGCTTTATCTATGTAAAAGCATTTTAAGACTTTTTTTGTATAGGCAGATTGATGGAGAAAGATTCCGTCTGCTAAATATTTAATTTGCAGACCAAGATAAAGTTGTATCTTTCCAAGATCTTTCATCACAAATTCTTTCTTAAGATATTCAATTGTCTTTTGAAGCTCTTCAGGAATTCCAACAAAATTTATGTCATCAACATTAACGGCAAGTATAACAAATTCTGATGATATTTTCAGTATAAAAAATACATGGACAAATAACATCACTTACGTAACCTTCTTTCAGCAAATATTCACTAAGGCGATTATACAACATGCGCCCAGATTCCTTTAAATCGTACAAAGACCTTTGTAATCTGATCGAGTACATTTCTCGAGACTTTGAACTATATGCTTTAGGCATTTTAAATCCTTCAGGGATCTTTATAGAGATTTAATCAAATGAGTCATATAGGTTATGACTTGCATTTAAATGGCATGACATCTTCAGGTGTCTGGACTACTAGTCCGATCCTCACAACATTTTACAGTATTGTGCACTATGTTGTATCAAATATATCATCGACGATTATTTTGTATCGGTTCGCAATCGACATAACTTGTTGAGATCTCATCACATTCTTTATTTTCAGGTACCTGAACTTCTTCTGCAGTTTCATGAAATATTATGTCGTGGGCTCCTAAGTGAGGATCATATTAATGATAATTCGATTCATATAGCATATTTTTCAGCTGTTTATTTCATCCCCCAAATGTTAGAAAAAGTAACATATATCCCCAATCTTCTTTGGGAAACATATCTTTGTGCATTGTGATAGAGAAATTAATCATATACCACACATCAAAAGATAGTAAAAATATTTGGTTTCTGATCCTAAACCAATTGTTAGGGGAGGACATACCATATATTGTTGGTTTGATGCATACAAGTACTGCTATATGCAATTTAGAAAATCTTAGACCGACACATGAAGCGTTGTTCTCATAGGCAATGATAGCCATTAATAGGAGGTATTCAATGCTAAAATAGCATGAATATAAACTAGAATTATCAAGATGAACTATCTTGATTTCATAATCTGAAAGTTATGCTCTTAGTTGGGAAGAACAATTTCAAATGCCAAACTGCAGGTTGACAATGAACACACATGTAACCATCTTATATATGCATCTATAAGTAGTTCACATGATAGGTGAATGTGCCCATATTCACCTTTTATATATTCCAGGGATCTTAGTCCCAACTTTAACTGGTATAATCAATTTATTATGAGAACAAACAACACAAGAGAATTCTTGAAGAATCTTTTAGTTATTTGGTATATGCTTATCTGAATTCTCAAATAGCTCATTTAAAAATGACAAATGAAAACTTCAAGTTTATCATGGCATGTGCTATCTCTCAGTAAACTTCTGGTTTACTATGACATAAACTTCTGCATTAGTAAACTTCTAATTTACTATGGCTACTTTTGTATTAGTAAACTTCTGGTTTACTATGATACATTATATAGTACAAATTAAAGAATAAGGCGGGTAACTTATCACATACATATTATTTTACCCCTTATGATTGTGGAAACATGAAGACTTTTAATCTTCTTATCATTTGTAGTCTCAATATGACAACCATAATGTATTAGTAAACTTTGGGTTTACTACAACATATGTTTTGACCATAATCATATAATATGAATGATATATTTGTATATAAGCCCTTCGAAAGCTTTCATTTATTATCCACAATCTGATATTTATCGGACACTACTGGTGTCATGTGTCTTCTAGACAAACAGTTAGCTCTTCAGGAGTTTTTGATATATTTTGTACTATCAAATATTGCTCAGACACTTCTGGTATCATAAGAGAAAATTATAATCAAATGAATAATATAAAGACAATTCTAAATTTATAAATGTAAGAAATTAAGAATTTCAGTATTTTTACCACCAACTTTTGTGACAAATATCTCCTTCAGGAAGAAACACTATTAACATCTGAATATTTTATATCAAAGCGGTAACCATATAGTCATTACATCATTCAGGGAAAGATACGAGTTGTTATTTTCTTCGGGGAACTCGATAACTAACCATGACATATTAATGTGGTTGTAGTAGAAAGCATTCTACAAGAATACTTTTGCCTTGGAATGATATTTAATAAAATTATCCAAGATATTTTACGTACAACGGGTACGTGCGACAATGATCTTTATGCCACAAAAATAAGATTATATCCTTTGTAATCCTACCTCTTCAGGAGGTGAGTTGTTGTATTTCTTCATTCACTCCAGGGAATGAAAATATGCTTCAAAAATAACTTTGAATAGCTTATTATTTTGTTTAAGCACAGAAAGACACAATTTCATAATATTTTCCTACTTCAAGAGAAAATTTCAATTGTGTTACTTCTTCAGTAGCAAATTTAAAACACGAAATATTAAGTATATATTTCCTCAATCATATTACCTCTTCTCGAGGTGAATTATAATATATTTACATCAAAAGTGCGTTCATATTTACGAGCTTTATTAATATTGTCACATTCACTTCAGGAAATGGATTAATATTTATCAAAAGTTCTCATCCTTCAGGGAACAGAATATAATTATCTGAACTTGCATTAATCACACCAAATCGTGTGATGGTTCAACCTCTTTTAAGATAATGCTACTTCGGGAGCAAATCGAGGCATGCAAGTAATATTGAGAAATTTTCTCTAGCTTATCTTCAATTGTAACCATAGAAAGCTTAAATTATCACTTCTGGTGGTGATAGGCATATACCACTTATGGTGGTTACAAAAATTTTGTTACAATGAGATATATGAAACATAATCACTTCTGGTGGTTATATATTTCTTGTAAACTCTGCTGGAGTTTAAGTGGATCTAACAATGTTATCAACTTTGTAATCCTTTATTAAGATAATAAGGATGCAAACAAATACCAAAATAGGTATTGTATACGTAACACATAACCTAGCAGGCGATGATAAAGATATTAAAATATAAGCAAATGACTCAAATTAAATTACGAAAATTTTGCCACTCCAGATGTAAGTGATATCTACATCACTACTATCAAGAAGAAAAACTCACCACCTCTAGGATATATTCAGCCTTATGATGCTCGGAATGAACAAGATCTAACCACGGACGTAAGAGCTTTGCCTTACATCAGAGATGAACATTACAGTGAGAACTGATGCCTTTGGATGAGGATAACTATAGTAATACATCTTTCAAAGTAAGTGCTCAAGGCAGAGTCTCGTGCTGATAACATGTTATAAAACTAAAGATTGCAAAGCAAATAAACCAAATACACGTATAGAGAGAAAGATTTATATATTATTCAACTTCAAACTGCTGTACATAATGAACTAAAATCTCCTCTATTTATAGAAGAAAGGAAACAGCTGTGAGGCTTTTCAGGAAGTAGCTGCAAGGCTTTTCAGGAAGCAGATGCGAGGATTTTCTTGAGCTGCTTGTAAGCTGTCTGCATGAGCTGCTTGCAACATGCTTGTTTAATAAGAAGCTGCTGCAAATCATTTCATTGAGTTTCTTGCAACCTGCCTGCATCAGCTGCTTGTAGATAAACTTCAATAGAGTACTAAATGGATAATCTTCTTTAGGAAGATAATCTATAGCGAAGTATTAAATGAACATCCATAACAATAATGATGTTGTTCTTATTTCTCTAAAAAAATTAAACACCTTATAAACGGAAATCTCACTCAAAGGATTCTATCTAACTTAGAAAAATAAATAAGCGAACTAATTTTTTTAAAAATATGGCAGTCCGGTGCACAAAGTATTTCGCATTTACACAGGGTCTAGAAAAGGACCACATTCCAAAGGGTTGTAATGTAGGCAGCCTACTCTAATGCAAGCATTAGTGGCTGATTCAACGGCTCAAACCAGGGACGGAGCCAACATATTCCCTATGGATTCGACCGAACCGAGTAGCTTTGTTTCAAACCTATATTTATTTTTAAAAATTCATT